TGCCAAGTCCCAGTGCACGTGCAGAGCTCTCCCAGAGTCAGACCTGCAGCCTGGGAAGCACCAGGACACAGTAGGGAGGCTGATGGGAGCACCTGTCCTGGCCACCCACCTCATGGTCCTGCCCACAATAACTGCAGTGCTGTGATTTTCAATATGCAACCCAGGGGTCAGTGAAGCACTGAGGCATCACTCTATCACTCAGCTGTGCAGCCCCTAACATCCAGGAGCAGGGTTTGACCTCAAGTGAGACAGTGCCCAGTCTACTCACCTCCTGACATGTCACTGGCTCCAGGATGAGTGCAAGCCTGTGCAGAATACACAGACTTGTGTATGCTGTGTGTGCATGATCCTCTGAGTCATCCACTGCAGACCGTACACTCAATTTTTGCCCTAGGAGTCATTTGCAATTAGCATTTGCATTAACAGCTTCATTATTTTTATCTATTAGAATCTGGAGAGGGGAAAACACAAATCAGGAATATCTGCTCTATAAAGTAGTTTGTGATTGTACTGACTGGTCCAGTTCACTAATTCCTCTTCATAAACTGATAAAAACTCAGTTCAAAAAACCACACTAAAATGAGGCCTGTCCCTCAAAACAGCTGCTAAGCAGAGACATATTACTACCTGATAAAAGTAATAATTGCCTGAATAGAGCTTGATTCAAGCTCAGCTTGAATCAAGAGACAAGGGATTACAACACTGAGGAGAAAATAGTCACAAGAGCAGATTCTTCTTTACCCACTTAGAAGAGTATCTGTAATGGATGTCATTCAGACTCTCTGTCTTGATGAGAAATATAGCAGACTGCTGGCAGGAGCATCAGGATTCTCTTGATTCAATCTTCAGTCCAGAAAAAGGGATTGAAAACATGCTGAAGCAAAGCTATTTTTATTTTTTATTTATGCAAAACAAGCAAGTTTGATAAACACACTTCAGAGACCTAGAGTCTATACACAAGTAGTTCAGGATGCAAACAGAGCATTTTATGCCTGTTCAGGTGAGGGTAGTGAATGTCCATAACCACCACCATCTTATGAGTTCAAAAGAGTGAAGATTTCCCCTTTTCACAGGGGTTTGCAGCAAACATTTCAGCTATAGCTGATTTTTTTTGGTTGCAAAGACAGGAGGGGATCCTGCTTTAGCACAAAGTACTTTTCACACTACACTCTGTAGCACAAAAGCAGAGGTTGAAAGTGTAATAGCAGCATTTGAAATCTGCCTGGCCAGCACGTTACTCGGTTTACCAAACTTGATTAATTTACCTTCTTCACAAAATAAGTCACTTAAACAACTTTTCCACTGTATATTTCCTATTTCTCTAACCTGAAGGATGTGCTTCCTAATTACACAAACATACTCTTTTAAAGACCAGGAAAGAATTAATTAACTAATAACAGAAAAATTAATAAAACCTTTCAAAAGAGACACTATGGCAAAGAGTCATGACAGTACTGCAACCACAGGTCCAGTCTGTGCAAAGCTATTCTCTGATGTCTCTTCCATGTCCATCCTACCTGCTTCTTCCTGAAAGGCATGGTGGAAGGTCCAAGTGGCATTGAAATAAAACCTGGGAGTGACCTGAGGAAGGACCAGTTTGCAATACTTGGAATATTTCCTAGTTTACCACGACACTCCTACCTATGTGTTCTCCAGATGAAGAGGTGAGTAGTTCAATCAGGGCAAGTCTGCTTCTTCTGGCACCTTTTGGAGCCTAAGAGATACTGAGAGTCAGAAATACTGTCGGCTGAATGAAGTAGGAAACGGGATTTACTTCCAGGTTCCTCAGCCAAGGCCTGTTTCTCAAACATCAACTGAATTTATCCCAAGCACTGGAATACACAGCTCCAGTTGGAAATGCCATTTATCTCTTCCTTCCAAGGGGGAAGCCTGGAAGTGATTTCACCCTTCTATATATTTATTAAATCCTACTGGATTTAGAACTGAGCTTAAAATTTTAGTTTGTTTTCAGTCTGCTCCAAAATCTGGGTCACAGACCTGTGAATATTTCAGTACACTGTGATTACCTGCAGAAACCTGACCTCTGTGCCAAAAAAGCATTAAAAAACACACATAACAAGCACCCATAAAATAATTGCTTACATTATCAGAGCCACTATTCTTTTAGCAATTCTGTTTCACTTAACACCTGCAAAATTCCCATTTTGTATCAGGCCAGAGCTCCTTCACACAAGGTACAAAGTGTCATCTTAGTTTCAGTACTTCATTTAAAACTTAGATTTTCATTCCATTCCCCATTCCCTCTCACCTGACATCCTGCCTCTCAAAAAGTAGGGTGTAACCTTCATGCACACCCACTCAACTTCTGCCTAACCTCTTACTTGAAACTTGTGAGGTCACAAATTATGGATTCCACATATTCCTTAATACCTGTATATTTCTTTCAAACAAACCAGGATGGGGATGTTTTTATAAATTCAACCTTCACCTTCCTAGAAATATTTTGCCAGCCTGGCTCAAGTTTTCAGCTCTCCTACAACTCATAAATCATTCCCATATCAGATCTGTGAATGGATAAACTTGGTTTAGGCATCATTTTCCACCTGTGGCTCTCCATGTCTCTTTACCAAGAAAGAACATATATTTATCTCTTTTAATGAATGATGGAGACAAATAAATTCACAATCCATAGCAAGCTCAGTAATGACTCCTTCAGATGGCTGTTGGAACTCTGTCACTAATTTAGCTAAAGGAAGATCACCCTTTGGTACCAGCAACTTCCACATGAGGAAAAATTACACAAATATCTTACCTGGTTCTTCACAAAAACAAAACACTCCAGAAATTAAAAAAAAAATAGAAGAATAACATTCTGCATATTACATTATTGAGTGGCATCTCCATTTTTGTAATAGGTTACCTGAGCCTCAAAAAATGCAGTCAACAAGACTTTGTTAATGACTATGAAATACATTTCCTTATAGAAAAGCAACAAACTGTCTTCCAGAAACACAGACCAATCAAATAGGACAAGTATGATACCGTATCAGCAACTTTTTCTGCTTCTAAGACCATTCACTTTCTTTTTCTGTGGTCTTAGCCAAACTGTATGGGATTTGTGTTAGAAAAAGGGTCTCTCCCTCTCTCTAGCAGACACAAGCCTGACATTTTTTAATGGCTGACAAGTTAAAATGGGCATATTCACATTAGTAAGCATTTTTAAAAGTATTGAAGAGATCAATTAACTGCTGAAACAACTTTCTAAGGATAATGGCTATCTCCATCACTGGAAACTTTCAGCTAAAGCTGAAAGCAGCTAAAGCAGCTAAAAGCTGCTCCTTACTAAGTAGTAATTACTTTAATGGGATTTTTGTGGTTGTCTTTATTAGTAAATTAAAATAGATTATCTGAATTTATTTATCCCCAGGCTGGAATATAAATCTCCAGAGTTTACCACACTCATTTAAAGGTCAGTAAATCTATAATTATATTAATTTATCCTGTATATTGAAAGCTCTTACCAAACCAACTTAAAAAAGCAGGTGCAGTTTTCCCTCTGTAGAATGAGGTTCCTGGAAGCATGTAAAAAGTAACAATTGGACAGGGGAAGGAAAACAGTTCAGACAAAGCATCCACTCTGAAATGTTTAATTTTATTAAACAATCGTGTTTTACATGTCATCAGACCTAACCCCTGAAGTGCAAAAATGTTTCTGAGGTATTAAGACTGGAGGAAAACAGGCACAGTATTGGTTGTTAGGGATACTGCCCTACAGCACAGTGGAATTTGCAAACAACAGGCCTTTATACAGCATTTGCAGGGTCAGAGAAAACTGAGAACAAGACTGTATTTGTCTTTAGCCTTGAGAGCCAAAAAGCCCTGATCATTAGCCAGTTCTGACACAGACACAGTTAACACAGGATGATGATAAATATCAATGAGGTGTTTCTAGGCCAATATGTACAGTACATGAAAAATGAAATTTAACTGCTGTATGTGTGACCAAAATCCCAACTGTCTATCCAGTCCAGCTTAATATGTTGTGCCCATGGTGGCCTCTCTAGTACCAGCATTTTTGTCTACTCTACACAGCTAAGCCACTGCCTTGTGCTCCTGTTTGGGGGCACCTGCCCCTCACACTCACTTCAGGTAAGTCAGATGTTCATCAGAATAACTAGAGGCAACAGTGCAGTACAGCCTGTAGCCTGTTATCCTTCTAGTTGGCCTCTTCCCCTCATCCACGCAGTGGACAAGTCTAACTCATGCAGAAGATCTGGTAAAGAAGTAAGCACTTGTTGATGACTGTTCATGTGGAAATGAAAGCTTTATCTGAGAGCTGGAAAACTGACGGGGCAAAACTTGCCCTTAACAATTAGTATATTACTGAGAGTTTTACTCAGTTGCCAAATTGTGCTCCAAAAATCATTTTCTGTGAGGAAAGTTTGGGTGATACTTGATACATGATACCTCCACAAGCCAATGAAAGATATATTTAAGAAAATACTTCCAAATTACAAATAAGTAGAAGTCACTTGTTCCAAGCCTCTCTTAGGTCATTTTTAGCAAAGGCAGCTGAAAACAAATTCCTCCTGAGACACACTTGTATTTGTGAAAAATGTAATACCAAAAAAGAAGTTATCCTTATCTTACTAGGTGTTCATGAACTTATGAACTTTCCTGAATATGTCAGCCTTTGTACGAAAGTGGCATACTTGGAAAGGTTCTCATCTGCAGCCTCTTCAGCTTTTAGACCTTACTGAGCAGATGAAGATGTGAGCTCTATTGTCAGCACATTCATGGGCAAATGTCATGCAGTCTGATCGCAAACACAATTGAGATTCTCAACATTTTCTAGGCGTGTTACCAACATCACTGCTGCTCACCTACACAACATCATCTAGCAAATCTACAAATACAGAATAGCTGGAACAGAAGCTGGATATCACTGGAGTGTTGCCTTAATTTTACTTTTTAATGGAATCATACTTCACCGACGAGAAAGGCAACCCCAAACAAAAAGTGCAAACAAATCATCACTTTCAGTTGAAAACTGGGTTTCGGATGCCACTCAGGACCGAACTGTTGGGCCAGTTTCTGTGCAGAAGGGTTAGAGAACATACAAAAAAGAAAATGCTTGAAATTCCCAGGACGACAATGCCTGAAATCAGCGCACTGGTGACCGTGTTCATCTGGAAAGGAGGTCCGTTTGGATGAGCTGCAAGGAGAAGAAAAATTCTCAGGTGACATCTGGTTTTATCTCTCATGAGTGTCAAACACTTCTGCCTTCCCCTTCCAACACCCAATACACCGTATAATTGCAAGGAAGGAACTAAAACTAGCTGTACCTCAGAATGTACACCTGTCTACTTGGATAAAGCTTATCTAAGTATATTTTGAAAACAGTTTCTTTCAATATCAATCATGTTGGGGAATAAAGACGTGTGCCTTCTGAGGCATTACCCTCATCTGCCAGTGACCAACACTGACCTGTGTTACTCAAGGCAAGACTATCATTATCCAAGGACTTATCCAAGAACTTATCCAAGGACTATCAATGTAGATGTATAAGGATTGGTGGCCTAATCAAGTTAATGAAAAGATTTCTTCCCCACTGTCATTATCTACATTTCAATTCGAGGTCTATATAAATCAGCAGACATGTCTGGCACCGGATATTGGACATTCTGGAAGCTTGTTGCACACTTTCAGAAAGGACTACTTAATATATTTATCAATTCTCAGGTAGGAAGGGTGACATTTTTAATACTTATTGCAAATCAGGAAGCTGCTCATGGACCAGTTCTGACATAATGGGCCACATACATCTACAACAAGTACTGTGTTTTCCAGCAGGAGGGGAAAAAAGCATTTGAGCACCAATGAGCATTTGCCATTACCAGTGGTGGAGAGTGAGGTGAAATGACAACACAGTCTTCATGTGAGAAACCAGACTGCTCCTCCCAGAAGCAGCCCCCTGCCCTCAACACCATTAATCCCACCCTCCTCACTGTTGATTTGGTTACCCTCCCCTTCCCAACACTGTGCTGCTTTCTGGCTGCTACAGCAGCAACCTCACCCCACTCTACCTCTGTGCTCTCCACAGAGACAGCAACAGGCAAAGGAAAGGCTTTTGCTCTGGGATGGAGAGGATGCTTCTTTTGTTGGATGGGAAGGAAACATAGCAGCCATCAACACAGCAAACTGTGTGCAGCAAATAAAGAATTTTCTTTTTATCATTTTAATTATATCCATGGGTAGGAGCACACCAGGGAACAATTAATTACAGGGAGAGCTCTCCATGACAGACAAGAACAGCAACTGATTTTATATGTTTTAAATTGAGTAAAGAAAGGAACAAATAGCATTAGAGTTCAGAGGACAGAATGGATTCTTTGTTCCACTCAGTCCTGTTATGAAGAAATACAAGGTGGAATGGCCCAATGTACCACCTGAGCATCCTTTCTTAGCCATCAGCCACTCCTGGTTACCAGCAGAGAACAGTAACAGATAGGCTGAAACAAGTGTTCCAAGTGCCCAAAGGAAAAGCACCCTGAAACTTAAAGAGCTGAACTGCCCTGCAGCCTATTTCCTTCACTGCCCTAGCAAGGCAAAAGTTCTATCCAAGTTTTTCCACAGGCTCTGTGAGGTTAAACACTAGGAGAACAGGAGCTGAAGCTCTGACCTTCTGGCTTTGAGATGTGAACCAAGCTAGACCATAACAACAGCTAGAACCAAGCACCATAACAACAATTTTCCCACTCTACTCCTGTGTGGCATGGGAAAATTTTACTGTTTAAGTCTGGTTTTGCATCTGGTGGCTATAATGTACCCTTCACCCTCAAATATTATAGCATCAGATCTTCATTTCAATTTCATCACAGGAATTAAAATTTCAATGTAGATGGTGTTGGGTGCACAAATTAAACTGAGAATTCCATACTTACCAATTGCTTTCTTTTCAGAGCATGTTGGTATTCACTCATTTAAGCAAAAAACATAAATAAAAATTAAAAAGGAAAAACATCCCAGTGCATAGATATTAATCCAAATGGTTCATCCTCAGTTCTGCTTCCCTCATAAACCCTCTTATGTTTCTTGAAATTCTGATTAACTTACCAAGCTGTGAATTGTTGGTTGGCGTCTCATCTATATTAAAAAAAAAAAAATATTTGTGTCATATTTTTAAAATACCTATGACTACCTCCTCCCCTCTTGTAACACAAAAGCCAATAGTTTGTATCTTTATTTTAAAAACACATCAGGTCACTTGCCACATTGACTAGCAGCTTTTAGCATCTCTGTTAAAATATGGACAATAACATAAATTGTATGCCATTGCTTCATTTTTAATATCAGGAGATATTAAAATATTAATTTAAATTTTTAAATTTAAATAGTGGAAAAACAAATCAACACCACCTTAAATCAGGAATCTCTTAATTGAAAAGGTGGCCAGTCCTGTTGTCTCCCTCAGTAACAACAGAAGCATAAGCACAATGTTATATGTAAGCCCCTTCATTTAATCATATTATAAAATAGCTCTATAGGAAAAAACTTGAGTTTTACAAGAAAAAATATGTCAGCAACCATAAATTATTACAAAAAAGCTCTTTTTGCCATGCTCATTTTCCTCTTGGCAGTTACATAGTGGCTTTATATTCAGGCTAACATTTGTATTTTGTCTTCAATTTTTACTTCCCAGTGTCCATTTCAGAATTACATTTCTTGTCACTGTTTTGGGGTTTTTTTGTGCAATCTGTGAGCACAGTTCACATGTACATTTGTTTTGAGCAGCTGTCTCCCAAGCTTAAGTGAGACATCCATCAAAAGCTACATAATTTTAACTTCACAAGTAGGTCCCTGCTTTGTCTCCATACAGACACTAAAGCATTTTCTTCTGTGTGCGCCTCCTGTAATGACTTATTTTGGATTAACAAAAAAGAATAACGTTTCTCTGAAAAGAGCCAAATGTTAGAAATATGAGTTCAGAAACACACAGGAGAAGGACCAGCACTCTTTTGCAGCAGCACTCTTCTGTTCCTACCAAGGCAGCTGCATCAGAGCAGCTGGTGACAGGCCATGGGGGGACAAATGTATCTGTGCTAAAGCTAGACCAGAGCTGGCCTTGAAAACAGTGTAAGCACTTCTATGCACCTTGGTATTCTTCATCCAAAATTTACCTAAATTCTAAAAAATTATCCAAAATTTTCCAAATTTATCCAAAATTATTCATCATCCGGATAGTTTTGGTCAAGTTCTCACATGACCTTCCCCCCTTTTAGTTTGTTAACTATGGCATTCATAAACCTCCTGGTTCTTACAAGTTTATTTTCACAAAGGGAATTGACAGCAGGACTAATTCCCTCTTTCTGACCCAGAAGAAAAAGGGAAATGCAAGGGAGATTGAGGGACTTGCCCAATGCCAATCATTAAATCTGTGGCAGAGTTTAGAATTGAATCCCATTTTTTTTCAAGTACTTCCCATTAAACCATCTTCCTGTCAGCATGAGTGGAATGCTCCAAAAGCACACTATGAAGATGGAGAAATCAAAAAAGCTTTATCCACCCACCTTTAGAATATGCCTAAAAAATTATTTTCCTTTTTCGGCCTTATTCATGATTTCATTTAAATGATCTTAACACTTGTCATGAAATTATAAAATTGTTTATACTTGCTTTGGCGCCATTAAACATCCATCAGATCTCTTTGCTTGAAGCTATGCAATATTTAAAGATAATTGATCAGTATCCTTTTTTTTAATTTTTGAATTGTAAAAATAGCATCCCCAGCATTTGAATCATGAGCTATATTACCTACCAGGGGCTGCTATAAGAAGCTGTATCTAGTTTCCATTCCTTGCCTAAGGCAGCATTACTCCAGCACGCTTGTTTGGCTGAGGAAATCCATCACTCATTTCCCATATGTACTCATGTATGCAACTTTGAAGTTAGTTCTTCTCACTTTTTCTTGGCTAATCAGATGGCAGCAACTCAAATGGGACCATGTATAATGAAAAAAATCACTCATTTTCATTGCAGATATGCTGCTCATAATGGAGCCTGTTTGCTCTAGAAATGGTCTCTTGTTAGGAGGTTCCCCCTTCTGGAGGGTCAGTTGCTCTCTTTGTATACAGGTACTTGGCACTTAAAGAAGGATTTTATTCTCAAGTTTTAAATAAATTTCCTAGACCAGGTTCAGTCCTACTCTCAGCATCCTAAACCTAAGACTGCTGAAATCAATTGCTTAACTGCAACTACTTATAAATATTTGTAATTTTTAAAACTTAAACAGCAGTCATATAAATTTTTTTCAGAGACTGCAAGTTACATTTAGAGCTGCCTTTTATTTTTTTCCTAAAACAATTGGCAATAAAAATGAATTCACTAATGGAATTTCACTCGCAATTAAAAGTGGATTTTGTCCCACTGTTTAAAATTTACAATGGTTTTGTCCCATTTCTTTCTTATAGCTGAATCTAAGAATAGTGTGCATTAATTTTAAGCAACATGTAGATAAAAACCCAGAGGGAAGCTGGAAGAAATGGTGAATAGAAAGTGACAGTGAATATTCATTATCCATCCAAATTAAATTGCAACACTGAACACAGTGCCTTAAATTCTATTATCTCTGGTGAAATCAGACAAAAAAATGTCAACTCACCGAGTCTGGACTTTTATAATAGCCTTATATGTGTAACAGTATCCCACGGTGATTTTATTGGAGGAAGAAGCATGTGAGAGGCAAACAAAAATAGTAGCTCAAAATTTCTACCAAATAAAGTAGTAAAAAATGTCGTAAAAAATATTCAGTAGTAGTAAAATAATACTCAGCAAAAAGTGACTGCAAATTTACAGTAAACTGCAAAACATTTCCCCAGGTTTCTGAATTTCCTGCAGTCCATAGAGAAAGATTGTTTATTCCTACCACTCCTTGTAATGATGGGGCCAGCAGAGATTACAGCATTGCCCGATGTGCTCTGAGGGCGCCAAGTCGTCCTTCCACCAGTGTCTCTTCTTTCTCTGTTGCTGCAGATCTGAGTGGTCAATCAAAACAATCACAGACTCAGAGTGGAACACAACTGTGGCCTTTTTGTGCTTCCTTATGTAATATGAATTCTTTGGTAAGGAATACTACAACTTTGATTTTATTTCTTAGTATGCATTAAATCACTTTGCAATAAAAACATCTGCAATATTGCCTAGAAGTGCATCTTATAAATTCCTGGCTTCCCATTTTATTTTGCCTCACTTTGTTTACAAAACTGCATTGCTGTTGTGTACAAGATCCATCTTATAGTATATTAAATTTTCAGTAGTTAATTTCCCAAAGCTATGTTTACAGATAGTTTTCCCCAACAAATCTGTTTTGCTTGACAATCCCTATTCTAGCAAGCTTCTTGAGTGAGAGTTTGCACGTCTTCCATGGAGTTCTAAATGGCAATGACAGACTAAAACAATCCCCAGCACTCTCATCTGGAGTGCGCCGTTAACATTTGTAACCTACCATCTACCTTAATCTATGGTACTCAAGCATGCTCCAAACAGGAGCATTTCCTTAGTTTCAGCTTCTTGTGAAAGAACTTCAAAAAGCTCAGAATATAAATTGAATGCAAAATGAGTTATGTAAATGTCTAACATAAAAATATAAACAACATACAAAATTTCACGAGTATACTGAACTGACTGCACTTTAAAATTCTCAATGGGAAGTCATTCAGTAGGAAACAATGCAGTGTTCTGAAGACAGCACAGAACTTTGTGTTTATATGTGTATTTAAACGTTTCTATTCCCAAAATTTATTTGTTGTTCCTGATAGTACTAAAATTAGTTAATTTTAAATAGACATACTTTCATGAACTTCAGTGGAAGAGTAGTTTTCAGATGATAAAGGAGATGATATGCTCTAACGGGCATGGTATTTTTTTTCACTGTGAGAAACTTCCAAAATTTTCCTTGTCAGTATAACAGCACTTTCTATAGCTTTAACTTCTCCATAAAGTATATTCTAAGATATTTCTCTTCATCACTGTGATGATGGATACCTTAATACTATACTAAGAATATCAACCTGAAAGCCATCTCAGAGTTGTTACTTTTAAAATTAAGGACCACAAGGCAAAGCGGTAATTTCTCATATACTCAATAACCTGTATTTTGCAGGTCTAGTATTATTTTATCTCCAGATGACAGTATTCATTTCCATATTCCTCATCAGTAGTTTCACATTCCTTCAGACACAAAAAACATTCTCACTTGAGCCTCTACAAGTCGCTTTCATTCTGCGCCATCCAAACTTCCACAACACTTTTATGCAGAACTCCAGGATGCCTATTTTATATCCAGATAATTACAACTTACTGGCACAAGAAAGGGACAGTCATCTGCTCTGCACAGCTTCGTCACACAGTGGAGGAAGACCGTGGACATCTTCTGGTTCTTGTGCTTCACAAAGCGAAACACCTCAAAGGAAAACCGGCCCATTTGACTCTTGCCATTCTCAATTATGGTTGTCTGCGGGTCCTTGTCACAGCTAGTTTTTGTAGAGAAGAGTGAAACTGGGATGAGCAGCTCTGTTAGTATTTTGAAGCTCTTAGCTGGGAATATGATAGCTTAAGCAGCAAGATCAACACTTTAGCTCCTTGGAAATGAAAATATCTGCAGACACAATCTGCCTGCACAATTAGGCTGCAGGTTCCTGTGCTGAAACACATTCCTACAAAAACACTGCTTTGTTTTGCAGCACCACAGCTATAACCAAGATACCATTTAATTCCAGTGCTCAAAGAAACTTGGGACCTGAAGCAAGAAGCAGGTATGCTAACTAGTATAGACAGGTAACTCCAAATGAAGACAGTACCTCTCCATTAGGTGTCATGGATAAAATTTAATTTGAGATATTGCCAGGATGTTTTTCAAAGTTCCAATTCAAATAAATGTTATTACTGGGAGGAGAAGTAGGAGCATCTATTTTTATTTGATAATTTGCTTAACTACTTTCCTGGACTGAAGTCTCTGATGTTTTACATCACTGTCATTCACCACATTCAACTTTGGTAAAATAAAGGCCAGTTTAGCCATTCACTTTAAGTGTTTATGTTATCTCTGGAAGAAGTACTTTGGATATATGCTTTTCTACATTCATAATTCTTATAACTTGGCACCTGCTTCTATATTTATGTTCACCCAAAAAGAAGCTCTGATATGTTATCTATAAGCCTAGCCCTTGGTCCGGCCTACTAATAATGCTTAAACTTTCCAGGCAGTTTAAGACACCACTGTTGGAGAAGTTGATAATTATTTTTTAAAGAAGGACCAACAAAATACTGGGTTTGCACAGGCCCTACCTGAAGAAAAGATCATACCGAAGATCATCACTAGGATTGCCAGATGGTGTGGTGTAACAGTAGTCCATCAAAACATTCCACCTGCACAGGGAGCAAAGGGATAGATGAGGGGAGCTGGCAGTGCAAGTGTGGGGGGTGTGAGTGAGGTGAGATGAAAGGACAGCACAGAAAAGCATACAAACAGGTAGTGCAGGCTGTTACAGTGAAACTGAGTTACTGTGTTAAACAGGTCACATGCCAGGCATCCTGTTTCTTCAACTACTTACAAGATTAAACAGCACAACATTACAGCAGAACTTTATAAATCAAATTATTTGGTTTCAAAGTCAACACACACTGCACACCTCCTCTCAGAAATCATGGCCACAAAGGACTAGAAATCAAAACCAGCCCACTTTTAAAAGCCCTGGATTTTCTCTCTTGGTCCAACAGAGGCCTATTCTTAAAAAGAAAGCTATGTAGGATTTAAAGTCTAATTCAGGAAAACTTTCATAATGAGAACTGCAGCAAAATATGCATTCACTGCCAAGAACCTGACACCCTCCAGCTGAGATCAGTGATTATTGAACACCAACCATTATTTTGAAATACAAAAAGCTATGAGGAAAGACAGATGCTTCTAAATCAGGTAAGTAAAAAGAGCTGGAAAGCAAGCAAGACAAGAAATAACACCCTCTATGGTACCTGCCATCAAGGTTGGTTGCTCTTACAGCTGCATATATTTTGGTTTTCAAAGGTAAACCTGTGCTTGGAATAAGGAGTTGCTGGCTGTAGGTTGAATCCTGTAAAACAAACATTGCCTCAATTGTAACAGAAATTCCACTTTAACAACCCATCTGCATCCAGACTGAGCTCTCAGCAATTTTTCTGACCCTTCTGTGTAGAATGATTGCTACTTTTTCCTCTGTAAGGGAAGCAGCAAGAAGCAATGCCAGAGAAATTGCCTACAAGTTTGTCTGTAAAGACTGGCTTTGCCCCATGCAACAATTTGGGAGAATAGATGATTTAATAAGGTGGTTGGCTCAGTGATTAAGGAAAACATATCATTCATTGCCACTTCAGTAAGTCCCCCAGAGCTTACAGGCACACAGGGGAGCTACTCTGGTTTTCTGATAGAGGAGCTTTACTGGGTTGTCCCACTGCACTCTTTCCCAGGAAAGGTTGGTAAAGTTATTTGAATTAGTGGAATAAGGAATATTATCCATGAGATGTTATATATTTCAAACTATAGTCCGGGAGAACAAAGACATTCTGCTATGCCAAAGTGTAGTTTCTGTCAAAGTGGCTTATTGAAAATCACAAGTAACAAACATTTTCATTTAAATTCTAGTATTTCAAAAGAGCTGTTTCAAGAAAGCTGTATTCAACATGAAAGTTGAGAATTCCCCATATACTACTACTTAAATATAGCTGTTTTACTGGGGCTTTTTGTTCAAAATCTCAACCATTAACATCACTTTACACTTTAGCAACAAAGCAATGAAAGAGATCCGTGCAACAGAGATTAACTGAGAATATCCAACTGCACTACCTGGTAAAGTCCCCTTTGTCAAACACCGTGCTAATACAGATAGCACAGTGACTCAGCATGTTGAGACCTCTTGTGAAAGTTCAAAACACTCAATATATATGAAAAAACTGGTAGATAAGATTTCAACCAGGTTCATTGTGGCAAGTGAGACCATGGCAAGCAGCAAATGACAGCAACAAGAGTGTTTGCACCAGAGACCAAGTGATTGTTTTTTCAAATGCCAAAATTAACGGCATGCCCAATATTTAATCTATGCAGTATCAGAGGCCTTCAGGTAGGTTTGCCTTCTTTCAGATTAATTATACATTTCTATAACAGTTCTGCCACATTTTGCAACTGATTAAAAAGTGCAAGACCCTCACTATTACACTCCATAGTTGCTCTTTTATTCTTTAAGAGTAGTTTTTATTCATTTAGAGAGACGTTTGCAAAAAGGCATAAAAGCACATAGCCACTTAGGCTCTGTGAAAGCCTATTAAACATTTTGCTATTAAACTCTGAGTCTACCATAACAACTCTTGTCTTTCCTAACAATGACATGTACTAGCATCGCAAAGTAAATCTAAACAACACTTTGTGACAGAAGACAGAGCTAAGCTTAGAAGATGAAGAGTCAGTTTTAAGAAATAGCCCTACAGCTAAATTTGGAGAAGTCAGCTTGCAGTCAAAAGACAAATCTGTACACATCCCCTCACTAACAGCAAGGGTGGACATGAGCCTTGAGGCCCAAAACAAGGACTACTAACAGGGACCAAGTGAGCCCACAGGACAGCAGGTGTCCAGAGGCACTCCCAACAGGGAAAAAGGCAGGCAGTGCACAAGGTGTGCATGTATTTATCCAGCCCTGGGGAGTGAAGCAGAAGGGCATATCCACCACTGGAATCTGCCAGCCTTAGCAGTATTATTCATTGACAGTGCTACTTATCAGGGTGAGCCATCTGATTGCTACCACCACTGGTCATGGTCAGCTTGTAAACTTACAGGGGTGGGCAGGATGAAAGTACATTTGGCTTTTGGCGATATCTGAGGGAAAAAATGTGCTCAATGTGAGCAACAATTGCATTTATTCCTGGCTGTTTGCTGAACTGGGCCCTGAAAGGCAGTCAACATGCAGTGGTCAATGCTAGGTTTGACTGAGAAATTTGCCTTCTTCATTCTGCCCCATCTTTTTGATCACAGGTTTATTTAAAAATGAGAGAACTATAATCATCATTTTAACAGATTATAGGTTGTTATTTGGAGCTCTGCTCTTTCAAACAAACATGATTTTTTAGAGAATGCCATTGAAAAATGTCCTGTTGCAATATTTATAGCTCATTATGTTCAAAGCATAAAGCATTGACTTTTAAATCAGTTGCATGAATTATAACTCAGCAACACGATGGCATGAATAATAATGCAAAAAAAATCGGATTCATAATTTACAAAAAAATGATGCTTGATAGATTGAAAAATTGATATTTAAATCAGGTATTTAAAATGTATGAGTAAAAATTTTAATCAACACAAAAATATAATTTCAGGGATTAATGTTAAATAGAGGTCCTTGCATTTTTCATGTTTCAGTGTCACCAACCCATTTACATGGTAAAAGCTTTTACAATAATGCATATTCAAATTATCTAAAACATAAGGAAGAAGCATTGGATGAAAACTGTCATAATTATTAACCCTTTAAATCTTTAAAGTCCACACCTTAAGGCAGCATATGCATCAGGATATAGATTTGGAATTGATGCATCCTTCACAACAATCAGAGATGATTGAAACACTCGGATGAGGCTTGAACATAAAAATACCACAGCCAAAGTGCTCCAGTTCATTGCTATGGGAATAGGTCTGGAATAATTTTATAGAATTCTACAGAGTGCTCTCTGTTTAGGCACAAAGCACCTATAGACACACAGAGAAACATAATAAATGCAAACAAAATATGCACTCTGGAGTATGATTGTTATGGCTACAATTGACTGGTCACATGGCACTACCAGCTGAAAACCAGAGCTGTAAATTGAGGAACTGTATAAATACAGGACAAAAAGACTGTGTCTGTCCTCAAAGACCAGCCATATAAGCACAAGACAGCAAGTACATGCAAACAAAAAGGAAGGAGGAATTCAGAGATGAAAGATGCCTGGAAGAAAGTCTTGGCTCATAGGGGGGAGTGGGAAGAAAACAGCAAATTATGAAGAGGAATCTATACCTTCATCTGTTAAAACAGTTTGTATCCACATAGCACAGAGATTAATTCATTCCAGGCCATACTGTGCTTTATACTCACATTGTAAAGCAACAAATTCAAAGTGCTGATAAATGTACCATTGTTCTCCCTCACAGAAATAGCAGCTGATGACCTACAACAGACCCAGAAACCGAAAACCATCATGAAGAAAGATACCTTATTTTTGTTTTTGCATACTTCAGTAGGCTTTATCATTAAAAAACTCAATGAGTCATATCACAAGGAGTTAATTTATGCATTTGGGTTATAAACTTCAGAAACAGGAATTTATAGTGAAAATACTGACAGTCTTAACTATGCAGAAAATAATGGATGGTACTGGAAACACGAATCAGAAAAATAATTAGCAGAGAGGCAAAGTGACAAAAAAGGAACTCACTTGACATGATGTACAAGGTTTACTCATGGAAATATTTTCTCTTGCACTCTATATTTACAAGCTTCTATTTCATGAAGATTTTTTTTTCTGCTATAATTTTTGAGAAGAAAACCTGAATTTTAAGGGAAGTTTTACATTATCTAAGGGTCTCTTCATAACAGCAGGTGTTCATAAATTATATTATCTCATATAATGATACTACAGAATTTTCTTTTTCCTTGCAATACTTCTTTTGGTGCTTTTTCCTTTTCCTTTACTCTTAAACAGCTAAAATTGCTACATGGACAATGCTGTTATGGCCTGCACATACACATGCTAAGACAACCATGGGGATGAAACACATAAAAATTAAAAAGCACTTACGAAGCGAGCTGGGTATTGTTAACCAAGTACTCCAGCGGGTAGCTACAGCTAAATTTGTACAGAAGCCCAGGCAAATAGCTGATAATCGTCGGTGGGTCTGGTGTGTCAATATAGCCTGAAACATTACCTATCTGTACCACTGAGGTATTTCCATAAGCATTGATACCTCGAGCTGAGGATACCTATTGAGGAAGAGAGAAAATTTCTATTAGCTGAAGTTAACTGTGGAGCAAAAGAACTTAAGGACACTGATGGTTTGGCCCATAATTTACCCTGAAATATCATCACTAAAACATTCAAAAATTACATAGTTTAATAACATTTTCCCTCTGTTCTGTCTTTCACCTCCCTGGAATCATGCATATAAAAGTCACTGTTCTTAGAACGGATTTGAGCAACATTTGAAAAGAATTATGAATCTTGGAAGCATATTTTTTCATAGGTACTTTTTTTCTCAACATTCCCAATTAATTTATGCAACTTATTGGGAAAAATTAAAGCAACCTTTCTATTACTGTTAAAAAGTATTATCTTACAATGAGCTTCTATATCTAATAAAAAGGCCAATACACAAGCAAGAAACAATATTCTCTCACTGTTGCACTTCAGTTTGGACACATCAAAAATAAGGTACTTCTCTAAGCAGATACAAGCCAAATAGTTGAACTTTGAGTGTGGCTTTGTTCATATTATATATTTCTACATCTTAAATATAAACTATAAACTGTCAGAAATTACAGAGCTCAAAAGTAATACAAAATTAACGTCAGTGCAACCTGAATTGCATCCATGGGCACATGCTATTCTGTATTGCTCAGCTCACAGAGTGTGCAGAGCCTGCAAGAACCCACAGTCCTCAGGAAAACTGAGAGACTCTTCCCTGCTGGTATCAGCCCAGCCCCACTCCATCTGTAGCTACTGATCTGAATAAGGGGGTTGTTTGAAAATAACTGAGAACAGCTCAAATTCCTTTCTCAGTAGGCACAGACACAACAGGGCAAATCAACATGGCACTGGACTTCTACTGCAGCATTTCTTTTGTACAACTATATTAGCAAAAAAGATGTTCTCAGTAGCTTTAAAACACATGGTTGCTTAAAAAACCATTTCATTATGGAAGAATCATCCTGAGGTGCACATGAGTTGTAGCATTTTGCAGTAAGTAGCACAGGATGCATGGAATTTTGATTTCTTTGTCCATCAAAAACAAACCCAAAAGACAGAAACAGGCATGCATTTTGCCCATAGCGTACCTAATAATTTTTTTAATGGCAGAAAAATGTTGAAAATAGAATTTTCCAGGATCTGAGTTTTTGCCTAAACAGTACAGGCTAAATTAGTACAGTCAACCAAAGCTTTTTTAACTTCCTCACCACCCTACTCCCATAAAGTAAAAAGCTGAGCCTGCTGTGTTACAGAAAGACATGCGTTTTACACAAGTTCTGCCTGAACTGTTGTCTTTCCTTTACTTTTATTGAAAATTAGCTTGAAGGTCTTTGCTGTGAAACACTGCCAAGAAATGCAGGGGATTGTAAAACTCCAGTGTGGGGACCATGATAAGAAAGGCTCCCTGCTCCATTTTTGTCCTCATTTGGGGGCACAGCATGGATAAACAGAGAGGATGGGGGAATATTTTTTGGTATATTTTCAGCAGCTGCTTTGTCTTTGTATTCAGTGCAGCCTGATGGGGGACTTCATGGGAAGCTCCAATTATTTGGACTTATCCGACTGGGGGGTCTTTTTGTTTTGTTTTTTAAACATCAATCTCTTACGATTATGATCAAATAGCAAGATCAGAGAGTTTACAAGGTGACCAAATACACAGGAACAGGAAGAAGTTGCTTCCTGGAAAATTCTTCTACTGCAAGTCATACAGGTGCTACAGCTAGAAAAGAGAGTCTTGAATTGGCTGGACTGGTTTTCTGTTGAAATTTTAAAAGAAAACTCACCCTAAGTCACAGAGCATATCAAAGATTTCAGCAAAATTATTAGCAACAAAACAGGGGGTTTGTTATAAAAACTGACAGGGATCAAGTACAAATAAGAATTTTGGAGAGAATAAAAGCCTTGAAAATAACACATTTTTAAACTTAAAAAAATAAGTTATTAATAGGTAGTTTGATTTCACTCAATGTGATACACATGAACTATCAAACTCTCCACTTCTGCAAAATCTAAGGCATGGTCAGCAAGACTTTTAGAAAGACCTTGGAACAATCTCATTCTTCCACTGAAAAAACACTTAAATAAAAATTACACTTTCTAATCAGAGCACAAACGTGGGTGCCATCATATTTTCTCAATAGCAATCAAGATTATAAATTATGAGCTTCTTCTGGTTTTCTTTGACATATGCAATATGTTTCCAACTGGCTAAGACAAAGTAAATATTATCTATGGAAGACACAATGCTGTCAAGGGCATTCACTTGATCCTATGTATACATAGCCATGCTATAATTTCACTTTGCTTTGGTCTTACCACTAAAGTGTTTCCACAAGATTCCAAAGTACTCAGATTGATGATGAAAATGACCACTGCTGGAAAGGTGTTGTTATTGATGAAGCCCCTGCAGTGGGCATCCCCATGTTTCCCATTCAGTGCCAGATCTGTCTCAGAATAACCAGAAAAAAGAACTGTGCAAAAATTTATCTTCATAGTAATCGTTTGTACCCCACAGAAAACATTGATATCTCGCTCAGCTGCAAGAAAAACAGAGGGAAAGACATTGTAAGATTTGAAGAAATCATTACACAACTATTGTAGCAGTTTGTCTAGCATTGTGACTTACAATCAGATAAATTTTTAGATTTCAGTTTCAGGAAAATATTAGAATGCAAACGTAGGAATTGCATTAGTATGAAGAACAGATTTGACTCTACCATTTTGCTGAAGAAAAAACCAGAAGTTAATATAGTAACATAGTGTAAACAAGCAAGAAATATATTAATCCCACAGCAAATCTTTTAGTAGCACATTTGTAAAATGAAACACTGCAATAGAGTAGAAAACAGCAAGTGTTCAAATATTTGGAGTCTGATTAAGCAGCCCCCTCTGAAACAGAAATTTCCAGTAATTTTGAGAAATAGAGAAGGCCAAGCTCTGCCTCCCAGCCCACTCTGGCATGAAAACTGGCTACATTTTTCTGAGTTGTCTGGAGTCCACTTTGTATGAGATCACAGTCTCAGGCTGTGCAGACTTTGAAGTACAATCAACAGCATATCAGAGTAATTTATTATGATCTCTCTAAAGTTGGTTTTCCCTGGATTTTGGCTTTGGGGTTTTTTTTTTAAGAACCATCAACTTGAGCTTTAATGAAAAATCAGTTGGCTCTTGAAAGACTATGATCAATACCACAAAGCATCTTGCAATCTTTCATTCTGTGCATTATGACAACACAAAAGACCTAGAAAGAAGCAGCTGTTAAAACCGATCAGTTTTTGAAAAGCAAAAAAAGTGTCTTCGCCAATTTGACCTTTTATTCAAAAGCTTTGAAGACTTTTATGTTCTGAATGGAAAAGCATCAGGTTCAGATACAGGCACAAGCAAGAGATTGTCTTGCTTTAAAGCTCTAACACTGCTCTTCTTTAAGCTCTTCTTTGCCCGTAGATGGCTGGGGGGCTGTTCTGGTGTTTCCCCCCAATGCTTTACAAAAATACATACTGCATTGCATTAAACACAGACATTACTCCTTTGTAGAACTAATTTATTACATCTGCTTAAAGATTAAGGGCTGTAAAAAATTGTAGAACAACTTCAGTCAATACTGTACCATTAAGCCTGCTAAAACGAATTGTTTCACTTTGTAGTCACAGCAGAGAGGAAATGAAATTTCCACTACAATGAACTAGTTCTTCCCCCATGGTACAGGAGCACAAGTAGTTTAATTTAGACAGCTTTAATGGTGGCTTTCAAGCCAAAACAATCAAGTGCAGGAATTAACAAGCCAAACTCAGTCCTGAGCTAATGCCATGATAAATGTTACTCACTGGGCGTAAATCTGGGCAGAAAGGTACTGGAGGCAAGACAGGAGTTGAAGTGATTTGGCATGAAATTCTCCTGGTTTGTACACAATCATAATCCCACTAATGTAATGCACAAAGATCAGGAAGCAGCATGCCTTCGTTTTCTCTGAAGGAGGACTATTATCATCCATTTAACGAGTGTACCAAGGTAGAGGGGCCAGCACAAAACAGGGAATGGCAAATTGTGCATTTATGCTTCCTTGGGCTGACGCACAAACGGATCATAACAAATTGCAGGATGTAACAAAGTAGCTCAGTTAATTTCATAACTCACCTCAAGCCTTCTCAGAAAGCAGAATAATAACTTTACCAATTAACTTATCATTACTGCTTGCAAAATTATCATTTGACACTATGGGAGATGAGACCTATCGTACAAAACCAACTTCTGCGTGATACAGGAGGAGGATAAACAACCTTTCCAGCTTAACCTTTTCTGCCCACTATTTCATGAGGAAGTATTACTGCCAAATTAGTCCATTCTGGAAATAAAATATGTTTTGTGCAGACTTTAATCTGAAGCCAGTCCCCAACAGATCTAATGCCCTCTAAGTTGCTAAATATCCAGCACATTTCTTGACAATTTGGGAGGGTAAATATTTCCTATATAAGTTAAAAGAAACAAACAAACAAAAAGTATTTCCATTCCTGCATTAAAAGCCTCTGGTTTTCGGAGTCAGAGGAGTGATGGCTTTAAGGTTATGGCACCCAGCTGATGAAGACTTAACTGTGAGGGCCTCAGAGATTCCATACAGGCAAATTTGGTTTCTTTCTGACTCAAATCACACAAGCTATCTACAGCCAGGAGTGCTCATGGATGTCTCTCAAGCAAGAGAGCATAGCCCAAGAGGCACACAGATCCTACAGAAACAGAGATCATCTTGAATTACGGGCAGACTCATGGGGGAAAATGCTGGGAGCTCCACTGCCCTCTTCTGCTCTGTTACCCCTCCACACATTGACAACTCACCCCAGGGCTGGCAGCAAAAAACCCTCAGAGGAGAAGAGTTTCCACAGAACACCACTGATAAAAGTCAGAAGAGGAATGAAAGTCCTGTGTAGTTCAAAACCAGTTTCTCCTCGTGAACCTCCTCTTTGATCAAATCCCTGCTTTGATATTGAATTAAAATGCACAGTGTATGTGAAAAATCTGCAGTATTTCCTCAGTCTCTACAAAGTTCTCAACATGAACTCAAGATAAGAGCCCCCTGAATCAAAATTGCATGTCCCAACTGGAGACAGACTAATATGGCTCTATGTCCCAGAAGCCTTGCAAAAGCTATGCTTCACTGCAATGCAGATCTAAAGTTTTTTCCCTATGTAAGCTTTCTGAATGATGGCAAGATCTAACCTAATTATATATTCTCTAGAACAAATCTAGCTTTGGTACAAAGAAATTGATGCATTTTCAGTCTACCAAAAATGGAGCTATTATTTCCTTCATTCCTGATGACTATTGCATACCTGCACTCTAAAATAAACCTGCAAACTGCAGAAACAAAAGTTCTGTTTGATTGTCATCCTATTTATGCAGCAGTATTCCTATGCAAGAAGTCACCTAAGCGATGAATGATAAAAGCACAAACAAATGAAAAATGGATGAGCTCCATAGTTCCTCTAGGAAGGCTTCATTTGTCCTCTTTGTTGAAGAAAACTCCTGTTTCTTATCAACATTTAAAGAAAAAGAGGAGACAACTTCAACACCCAGTGGCTTCTCCAGTATCTGCACATCATTCTTGGTATTCCAGCTGACAGCAATAAAGACTCCTTGTGTGGAACAAATAAGGAACAGAAAGAAAAAAATCTACCCATAACAAGGCTCTGTGAGTACTATCTCAGCCTGGAAGATATTGGTTTTAAAACGTTCTCCTTTTTGACCTCTCCTGAGCCAAGTGCTGGGGAAGCCAGCACAGGAAGAGGGAGCCCCTTCTCCCTGCAGAGGCTCTCTCCGCCTTCAGCAGCCTCACAGCTCCACTGGCCCCAGCCCATTACACAGCATATGCCCATTTCTGCATATTGAAAATAACACCTGGCAAATTTGGGGCAAAAGGGGTTCTTGGCTTTTACCTCCATCTCAGATGCACAACTAACAAACAGAATTATTTTTCTTTCCTAGCTCTCAACATCAACAATAAGACTGTTGAGTAAATCCTGGCCTTTGAATCTTTTATGACAAGCAAGAAAAAGAAGGACTCTGCTCTCAGCTCATATGGCCAGTTAGGGGTGAATTGGAATTTACTTTAAAAAAATCTGTTTGCCTGTAACCTAAACAGATTTTCTCCCAATTCAATCAGATTTGGCAGAAATGGAATCTGATATGACTCATTTTTATGAGGCAGAACTGCAAGAGGCCCCTAAGTACCCTCAATAAGAGATTAATTCAATTGGCACAGAGCAGGTGCAAAAAATGACCAGAGAAAAATTTTGAAACACAGAAAGAAGAACATAAACTTCCCTCTATCTGTTGCAAACATCTCAAGAAGCCTGAAACAGGGACCAGATAAGCCACAATTACATAAGAAACTCAAAAGCTAGCTCCGAAGCAGGTGGGCAAAATTCACTCACACTTCAGAGGCAAGTCTGCAAAAATTGACACTAAATGGAATGTATTTATTATGAATAGAATATAATAGGAATATATAGATATTAAAAAGTAGTTTGCAAAATATTCAGCTAAACTGTGATTTTCTCAGGAATGGAGACAATGTATTTGATCTTTGCATGTCTTATTTCTCTGTTCTTCATGTTCATATTGATTAAGTGAAAAAGAATCAAACCCACTGCTGGTCCTTATGCCAACAAAACACCTAGCAGTGTGATAGTAACATGGGAATCAATAAACCGACTTTCTGCCTTCTGCTGACTTAAATTTAATAAAAGAGCTGACCCTTCCTGAAAAAAAAATCAAAACTTTTATTATTCAGAAAGCAACAACAGGAGAGGTATTACAGTGTAATACTATACTGAGTGTTCATTACTGAACTATTCAAGCCAATCGCTATCTCAGAAAAACAAGATGTGAGAGAGACAGTATTCACAGGCTTCTTTTTATTATTATTATTATTCTGCCCATGATACAACTGAAGCAGGAAGGATCAGCAACATAATAGAAACTAAAGGATCCTTTGCCTGAGTAAACCCTGATACTATGCCACCAAGACTGACATTTCATTTCTATTTCTCCTTGTATTAACAGCTCTGAGCATCCAATGTCCCCAAAATGACTTCATTCCCATTTTCTTACAGGAAGGAAAATACATCATCCATAGACAAAACTCATTGCTTCACCAGTCCCTAAGCAAGGACTTAATGTTGAAGTGAGGCACTAAAATTTTGCCATCAAGGTAATTTCTCTTAAAATAGATACATATTTCTTTATTTTACTAAAAGGATATAATCATATTCTCTTACCCAGGAAAAAGAAAACTATAAAACCTAAACATGAAAGAAAACCCAGTTAGAAGTGTGAGAGTGTTAAATCTATAGAGAACATTCACAACAATATGAGCTCTGGTGAATGTCTTGGGCAGTTTAGAGCACTGGCAAAAGCAGGTCAAGCCCCACTGGTGTGAGGGGAATTGTTTGCCTTGCTACCAGGCTGAATTTGACCCATTGTGCAATTAAGAAGGAAGTAAAGTGCAGCATTAGGCAAGTTCATTGTCACAAAAACAGTTAAGACTCACTTAATCTGGAGTCCTACCCCCAGGCCTTAGACAGATTTAAAGCTCTGTATTTAAAAATAAGCACTGCTTTGAACCAAGACAATAAACAAGCCATTAGAAAAAAAGTCTATTAAATACTTACCAGGAAACCTGCTATGGAGGTTAGCATCACAGTTGTAGCCATTGAACTGAGCAGTCACTGGGAGCACTTTAATCGTCAGCAGGAGCAGCAACCATACCTGTTCCATTGCAAAACCTAGCAAAACATGGAGTGGTTATTACACACATCTGTTCATTGCATTAAAGATGCTCACTGCAAACATTCCACTGCTGGGAGGCGATGATCTCCAGCAAAGGAACTGGGGATAAAGCTCACAAGCTTGTGGGAAAGAGGTCACAGGCAGCAGGGCCTATTTCTCTGCTCCTGAGTAATGCCTAATTTCTATTAACTTCCAACTTCAATCATAACTTGTGGCAAAATAAAAGGCACTCAAGGATAATAGAAAAGGGAAAAAAACAAGCCTAAAATATAATGATAGATTAGAATTGCTTGAATATTTAAATTCCAATCTTTTTTTGATATTTCAGCGTAAAATTGCTGAAGAAAGACATCTTGGCTATAATAAAACTATTTTTCCAAGTCATAGAAAACCACAGAAATAAATTGTTAGCTCAGAAATTCTGAGGTTCAAGATCCTATAATAAAAATGGGTTCATATCTGTTTGCCAAACATTTGTTCTTTGCAGCACAAATGCAATTAAACTGTCCTTCCACAAAGAGCTGGTACAGACACTTGCATCTACTTGAATTGTATCTGGCAATCAGAACACACGAATTTCAAGTGTTCTCAGTAATGATTCCTTTTTCAAGGAAAGCTCCAAGGTGTAATACCTGTAGTACTTACCACAACCAAAAAATCCCAACTTCTTTTACCTCTGTCAAAAGCATCCCAAAATATTGAGATTTTTGTCAGTGAATCCAAGAGCACTAATTTTTTGTTTGGTTTATTTTTTAGTTTGTTTGTTTGGGGTTTTTATATATGTAAGATTTTGTCATTCTAGAGAATATAGCTGCTGATGTAGACCCCAAACGTGGCAATGTTCTCCATTTGCCTAGACAGGAACTCAGCAATTCCAAGATTTAGGAAATTGCTTCCTCTAAGAGCACAGATCACCTGTCTCCAAGTGGATATAGAACATGTGCAAACTCCAGAGATGTAGCACTCCTAATTGCAGCCATACCTGGCATGGCAAGGGACTGTCCTGCATTGCTGAGAAGAGCTGGCCACAGCACATGGAGAGAACACCTGAGACAAAACGTTTTTGGATTTTTTTACTGGATCTTTCATGGCTACACAGCAGTGTGAGCTGCTTCTCCTCAACAATGCAAAAGCTTGCACTAATTTTCAAGCCATGCTCATTTAATGCTCTGCATTGAAAGAAAGACCCCTAGAAGACAGTCCCACATGCTTTGTCAATGATCAGATCAACTCCAAGAAAACACTGACCCAAATTCTTCTAAAGAGTCAAAGGTGTGTCCAAGTGTACAGTCAATGATTCTTGTGTAATTCTGCTTGGAAGTACACAGAATAAAACCAGAATTGGAAACACCAGCTTCCAGCTAAGCATGCACATTTGGGAAGCCAGGTGTAACTTTCGCTATTATCACATCCAAAAGCAACTCTCCAACCTAGTTCTTCACAACTTTCTCAACGAGTGAGTTACAGCAACAATGCAACCTCCTTTTTGTTTTAGGTGGATACCTAATTCCAAACAAAAGCACTCTTTGACTCTTAACACTTTTTCCATTAGATTCCTGTGGAGATTGACAGCACTTGCAGCTAATGTTGATGAAGAATTGTGAAAACATAAGAAAGAAAATAAAATTTCCAACTGGGTTGCTATGAAACCTCTGTATTTTCATGATCTCTTCACCCTGTCCATCACTCTCAGACAGAGAGGCACAGCAGTGTTTTGCTTGTTTGTTTACTATGAAAATTTATACGTTATTTTGAAAGAAACATCTTTTCTTTCAGAACATTGGCATTTCTCCAGTGTTCTGGAGCCTTACCTCTGCTTGAACATACAGCAGTTACATTGATAAAGTGGATATTACTGTTCTCTTGTATATGGGCTGGTTTCTGATGTCCATTACAATGGGATATATCAAGGATATACCAAGATCTAAATCTGAGTTTAATTTTCTAACATCCACAGTGGTTTTCTGCTAGTAAAAAATGTTTGAAAAGAGTTAAATGAAAGATGCCACTGATGAAGCTGTAATTATTATTTTATATGAAAAGCAGAACTTCACAATAAATTCTAAAATTTTAATTATTAAACATAACTTAAACTGCTTCATTTTGGAAGAAGGATAGATGATTGCTAAGGAACAAATCTGAATTAAGACATTAAGTATTTATAGCATTATTTCTCTAGCTGTATTCAGAACAATTCAGATTTTAACACAACCAATAATGTCCCACTTGCTTTTTGGCTATTGACTCATCTGCATATGAATCAACATGCAGATCCACATCACCAATTGAGTTGACTCCTGCTGCTTTTGGTTAAATAAGCTATGAATATGCATAATTTTTCATTTTTCAAGAGAACTGTAGGGCTAGAAAGCATCCTGAGAGGCCAACATCACTGATCTGCCCTCCCCAGACACAACTAAGGCAGCCATTTTTGCTTTTCCAGTCTGGTCTTAAAGGCCCCCAGCAAGATATTTCTCAACAGAAATTTCTGAACTTCAGCCCTACCAAATGTATAAGGCATCCTAACCAAAAGTTTTCTACCATACCAATATGGCTGACCATTTAATACAATTATAGAAGCATAAAAGTCTATCAAAATAGTAGCCAGAACATGATATTATTGCTGCCATATAAATATGAAACTAAAAATCCATGTACAAAATCATAAGACAGCATGCAAGTGTCAGGAATGGCATGATTTATAATCCTGGAGTGAAATACATAAGGAAGATATCTGCCTTTTTTCCTTCATTTAGTATGCAATTCTTAGTATGCCTTTTTTGAGGAATGCTGTTCTTGGTGGTTTAAAAACAAAAGGCTTCTTTGATCTACAACAAACACATTTGGCTGTTAAGAAGATTTTCAGGATTAAAAAGACGCCAACACATACTGCAAGGGAAATCTGACCCCTTCTGTTAATTAAACTCCTAAACAACAAACCCATATCATGTTTCACTGATGTACCCAGAGTCAGGCCCTGCTGCTCTGTGCTGCTCACCACTGAAGAGTACAGAGAGGTCAGAGTTGCAACAGGCAGTGCTCACTTTAATTGCTCTCACTTTACAAAGCCCTCGTCCCTGCTTTGATAAACTTCACCATATCAGAAAACCTGCAGAGAATTCCCAAGTAAAGATGTTTATGATTTAAACATCACAAGGTTTTGCAGTCAATTTAGGAATTTAATTCCACTGAGAAGCTATAGTTTTATTTAAATTCCCTCTTCTTTCCTCTGTCATCACCTGATATTCATTTCTTTTCTCTCCCATCCTCTCTAAAAAGATCTTCAAAAATTTTCCATTGTCAACAGTATTCACTGACTCAGCCTTACATTTTTATTGAATTGCATTTGTGAGCCAGTTGCAACTTCCAAGTACATTATTATTTCAAATATTCTTCCTGTATTTTATAAGAACTTTCTATAGTCCACTGCTTATTCTCTATTTTTAATCCACAGGGTATGGCAGTTCAGCAGAATAATATGGTGATCCACATGCCTTTTGACTGGATAAATCTTTTAAAATGTTTAGTTAATAGTAATAACAAAAATTTCTGAAAGAAAATTATAGATGTGTTGAGCACATAATAAGCTGGTGCCACATTTATAAGTGTTTTCATACATGCCTGGTATACCTAGTAACTGCGTAAATGTTGTCTAGCAATGTACACTAGGTATTTACAAGTAATGGAATAGGACCTTTACTTCTGCTCACAAAAATATCTTCAAATTATCATTACATAGTTCAACAGCCCCATCTCAGCCATCTCATGACAAAATAGCTCCTTGTCCTCCTGGCTTGCATTCATCTTTCTGCCACATTTGTTTCTGCATGTGCACCCAAGATGTGAATAGCTTTGAGGTGCATTTACTGCGCCACTGTCAGGTCCTCCAGAACCACTTTGCTTCTAAACACACAAGAGACTGTTTGTCATCACTTAAAAGTAACCCAGTGAACAAAATCAGAAGAATATCTCTCTACTTCAAATTCTTCAGTGGAACTTTTTCTTTTGACTTATACATCCTGTTGAAATAAATTATCCAAGGTAGTTTCAGTATCGCCTTCCACTTTATATCCTTGGGTCTTATGATGCAGATAAAACAGGACTTGGATCTTTACAGTAACTGGTTTAAAGATAAGTCTATCAAAAGGTGATAATTGCCTTTTTTTAAAAGGTTTTTTTATAGATAAAGGGCAACTGAGATGCAAAGAACTTTAAGACACATTTCAACTACAAAATTTCTCTATGTTTGTAGATAATCTTTGGTTCTGAGACTTTGAAACACATATATCTTTTTTAGAGTGTTCTGTGATTTCAGACCCCATAGTGCCATCACATTCCTGACACCTAGAAAAACCTGCAACATGGAAAAAAAAAATATAGACATGCACATACATACATGTACATGACAAATGCAAACACACAGAGGCACACACATGAGCCTTGTAGTTCAACAGTCTCCTACTAAACCTATGAACAGCCTGTATATTCCCAAAATTACAGTATTTAAGACTCACAGCAAATTTAATAATTTGATATGTATGAGGAAATAATAAAACTAAGAACATCAGAAATCGGTGCACCTCAGAATGTACAAAACCAGATGATTGGTCACACATGGAAAATGTGAAAATATTTTTTTTTAAAATAAATACACTAATCTCTCTTGTAGCTATTCAGAACACATCAGTTGTGGACTGAATGAGAAAGACCATGATTTAAAAACACACATTAGTCAGGCAGAGACTTGCCTTCAGCATCAATCATCTGGCCTCAGAATGACCTTTATGTATTTCCTAGTCATATTTTTGCCCTCGGTTCTTGAGATTTATAAAAAAGAATCCTGAATTAGCTCCATAATATATTAGGTTTGTAATTAAATATTGGGTAAAAGCTTGGAACACCTCCTTAATCTATCAAAATACTACCAGAATGAAGTGGGAGCTTCCCCTGACCAATTCTAAATCCTAGCTAAAGCCTCAAATGCCAAG